TTTTTATATTCAGTTTTATTTTTATAAAAACCAAGATTTTGCTAAGTGATAATGCAACAACAACTGGTTTGATTTATAATTAACAATTGAAAAATGTGTCAAACAATAAATGCTAACTTCTAACTAAATAAAGATTAATTAACTAATTTGAAAATTAAGAATATCAAGTTTTTGGCAAAAAAAAAAAAACTAAGATTCTACTGATCTACTTGATATCCAGATGTTATACATTAAATCTTACTTCTTTTTTCTCAGATCTCAGATGAATTTATATTAATTATTTTTGTATTAAGTGTTGAGTATTCGATTAAAGTAACAAAAAAAAAAAAAAAAAAAAAAGCAGCTAATGAGTGTAGGGTTGCCAAATGTATATTAAAACCACAAAAATTGGTATTTCAAAATATACAAGTTTTGGGAAAAAAATATTGTTTGTAATCTGCTTAAGGTAAATAAATATGACTTTAGGGATGCTAAACAACTAGTCCCGCATTTTGAATATCCCTCGTTTTATATGTATGTCATTTCGCAAACTTGATTAAATTCGGGCTTAGGCTAGTCCCGCCTTCAAAATTACCTAAAAATACTGGCTTAAAACTAACAGTATAGCGAAGAAGTTCGACACCACCAAATTTTTACGAATCTAAATATCTACATCAAATTTCCTAAGTATCGGTGCATAATTGATCCTAGCTTCATAATAACGCATCTTACAGAAAATTAATTGGATACAAAAACAAGTAGGAAAGTATAGTCGGGCATGGCCGACCATATATACACCATGAGCATATTTTAAAAAAATTTATTTTTCATAAAGAAATTTTTATGTTGAAGTTTACCTTAATTCCAAAGTATTTAAGTAATTTATTATTATTATATATAATTATATAGGAGTAAAGAGGTCAAACATGGGCGATACTCATTTAATTTGGAAAGAGGATATATTTTTAAATAACAGTTAGTTATGTTGAGTTTCATTGTTAAAAGTCAATTTTAGACGTTTAAGACATTTTTGGAAGGGGAGTTTGTATGGGGTCTAGGGTCAAATAAGGGCCGATCATTACGAAAATCTGCAGTGTCATTTATACTTATATAAAACTTATTTGTGCCAATTTTTAGAGAGATAATAGTATATTTGACGTAATTACGGCATAAAAAGCCCAAATCGGGAGGTATGGTTGTATGGGGGCTAGGTGAAATAATCAACCGGTTTCAACCATTTTCAATAGGCTTCGTCCTTGTGCCAAAAGATATGCTTGGTCCAAATTTCATCAAATTATCTTGAAAATTGCGGCCTGTACCTTGCGCACAAGGTTTACATGGACAGCCAGCCAGCCGGACAGACGGACGGACGGACATGTCTTAATCGACTCAAAAAGTGATTCTGAATCGATCGGCATACTTTAAGATGGGTGTAGGACCAATATTTTTGTCCTAAAATGATGTTATTTATTAATAATTACAGTATCAAATTCTATAGAGTTTATGGCTTTATTGAGCCAAGGTTTTTTTCCGAAAATCGCCCTAATATTAGTGTATATTAATGTCGACTTTAAGTCCATATATCTAATGTACGATATATGCCATTTATTTACAATTACCTTAGCCAAGGAGTATTCTAGTTGTTTTCCCTCCAATTACCATAATTGTCCCCACCTCCCATATAAGATCGGTCCCCTTCAGAAAATGATTTCAACGTTCATAACTTACTCTGAAATGTCAGTATAGCAATAAAAGTTGATATAAACGTGTTTTTTATTACCCAAAATTTCTCTGCAAATTTTAATGACGATCGGTCCATAGTTGACCCCAACCCCATGCAAGTTCCCCTTGAGAAAATGACTTTGAAGCTCATAGCTGGCTTAAAAATACAAGCATATCAATGACATTTTATATTAATCGAAATCACTCTACTAAATATTTTGACGATCGGCAATACTATTTGACATAAACGAGTTCTAATTAACCGAAATATTGTGGCGATCGTTCCATAATCTACCCTAACCCCCATATACGGTCCCCTTCAGAAATGTAATTTAAAGCTCACTTATGGCTTATCGATGAAATTCAACAAAAACAGTTTTTATATTAAACGAAATCTCTCTACAAAGTTCTATGATAAACTTTCCATAATTGACCCTACCCTCCATATAAGGTGCTCTTAAGAAAATTAATTTAACGCTGACCCTAAAATGTCGGCGTAATCATAAAATTCGGCACAAAAAAAGGGTTTATATGAACCAAAACTTATAAACATATCTACCGATTTTTATGAGGATATGTCTATAGTTGACCGTTGACCCTTGTACTGATGTCTCTCTGATTCAATTCGAAAAACAACGTAAGATGCCGTTATTCGGCTATGCCGAATCTTATATACCCACCATTAAATCATGTGCCACATATTTCATGTGAATTTCGGAAAGGGATCCTTTTGTTAATTGTTAGCACAATTAGTATGAAATGAATATCAGTTTGATAGTAGTATGCTATTAATAAAACATTTATAAAAAGTTTTAATGATTAATTTAATATAATTATTTTCCGTAAAAGGGATTATATAGGTCAAATATAGAGAAGTCAGCAGTCAATATAGACCGATCCTTATAAAATTTGACAAAAAGATATTAGTTCCGATAAAACTGGTTTATGTCAGATTTTATTGCTTTACTGGTATTTTAAAGCATTTAAGAACGTTATAGTAATATTTTGAAGGGGACCTTATATGGGGGGTAGGGTCATTGTAGGCCAATCCTTATAAAATTTGACAGAGAGATCTTAGTTCCAATAAAAATTTTTTATGTCGGATTTTGTTGCTTTACTGGCATTTTAAAGCAAGTTATGAACGTTATAGTAACATTTTGAAGGGGACATTATATGGGGGTAAGGTCAATTGTGGGCCAATCCTTATAAAATGAAGCGGGAAGATTTCAGTTCCCATAAAACTTGTTTATATAGAATTTTATTTTTATATGGCATTTTGAAACAAGTTATAAACGTTATATTAATTTTCTGAAGGGGACCTTATATTGGGGGTACGGAGAATTATAGACCGATCCAAATAAAATTTGTCAGAAAGATATTAGTTCCGATAAAACTTGTTTATGTCAGATTTTATTGCTTTACTGGGATCTTATATGGGGGTAGGGACAATTATGGGTCGATCCTTACAAAATGAAGCGGGAAGATTTTAGTTCCCACAAAACCTTGTTATGTAGAATTTCTCTGCTATACTGAAATTTTGAAACAAGTTATGAGCGTTATAGTCGTATTCCGAAGGGGACCTTATATAGGGAGTAGGGTCAATTATAAACTAATCTTTATAAAATTTGACAGACAGATTTAAGTTTCTATAAAACATGTATATGTCGAATTTTGTTGCTATACTGGAATTTTGTTGCAAGTTATGTGAGTAAAACTCATTTTCTGAGCGGTACCTTATATAGGGGGTAGGGTCAATTTGGGTCTGATTCTTATAAAATTAAGTGGGGAGATTTTGGTTCCGATAAAACTTGTTTATGTCGAATATTGTTATTTTACTGGCAGTTTTAATATAGTATATATCGTGGACCTATATTGCCCATTTTTAATACAAAACAGCATCAACTAAAACAAGTAAGAAAGTATAGTAGGGCGTGACCGACCATATGATACCCTACACCAGTTATTAATATTAAATGTGATATATTTTTCATAATAAAGCATTTATCTGGAATATTACCTTGATTCCGATTTATTTAAGCAATTTATTGACGAAAAACTAATTTTCTGAAAGAGGGGATAGGAGCAAATGTGAACCGATCCCGATAAAATGGGCTGGATAGATTTATATTTATATAATAATTGTCTGTGATAAATTTCATTGCAATAACAGTGTTAATAGGTGAGTTGCGGACATTCAAGTCATTTTCCGAAGGGGGGGTTTGTATGGGGGCTAGGGTCAAATGAAGTCCGAGCATTTAGGAATTCGGAAAGTTCATTAAGGCTTGTATAAAACTTAGTTGTGCGAACTTTTATCGAGATACATTTATATTATACAGAATTATGAGCTCAAAAGCCCTTTTCGGGGGGTTCAGTTGTATGGGGGCTAGGTGAAATAATGGACTGATTTTAACCATTTTCAATAGGCTTCGTCCTTGGGTCAAAAGAAACATGTATGCCAAATTTCATAAAATTATCTTGAAAATTGCGACCTGTACTTTGATAACAACGTTTACATGGACACACGGACGGACGGACATCGTTAAATCAACTCAGAAAGTGATTCTGAGTCGATCGGTATACCCACTATAGTGGTGTAGGGTATAAATATTTTGTGCAAAACTTGAGCTCTCTAGCTAGTACCGTTTGGACTCTATCGTGTTTTCAACAAACAGACGGACGGACATGGCTAAATCGTCTTAATATTTAATAAGGACCCATTTATTAGATTATTTTATAGGTCTTGGACCAATATTTCGATGTGTTACAAACATTTTTGATGGTGGGTATAAAAATTGAGATTGTAATTAAACAGCAATATATTACTTTTCGGTAGTTGATACGCAAATAAAAAATAAAAAAATTAAATTAAAGAAAACATTTATTGCATAAATAATTTAAAGGATTTTATTGTCTAAAAAGTTTAACTTTTTTACTTATAAAAAAATAAAAAACACTTAATCATAATACATTATAGTTGACTATAAGGCAAGGCATACATTGTGGGTGGTTTATTTGATAAGTTATTGCAGTGACTAGCTAAAAGCAGTTAAACATGTTAATAGACCGATTCGGTAAATTTATTATAAAAATCATAAATTTTTTTTATATATTTGAAGTATTTTTCCTTTGTGTTTCTGAATCTGGAGTTTTTGTAGAAATAATTTTAAAAATTTTCATTCCACATAAATTAGACGTTATACAAAGTAGGAAGGGTATTATGAGTTGATATTTCCTAAATAAACTGCTTACGAATGGAATGTTCATTAAGACAAATGTTTTCTTATTAGATTTTTTTTTTTAAATTTTAACAACTTATCAATTAACCTCCTTGTTTTTTTTTAATTTACATTACTTAAATATGTACAAGAATATTTAGTTATATTTTGTATACAATAGTTAGTTATTACGAATAAAGTATTATATCACACAATGATTTGATGTTTTGCATTCTATTTAACAGTTGCATATTCTATAGAACTTTCATGATCTCTAAACAGGCCACATGGTCTAATCAGTTCTTGTCTGCGTTCATGTGTCCAAACATTGGCAACTATAATCGGGGAGAAAAACAAAAAGAAACGAATGAGTTACATACAAAAACCATAATAATGCCTTAAGGATTAAATAATATATTTTGCAATGTAAAGAAGTCAACTTAAAATAAAAACAATAAGGGAAAACTTACTCCATTTGGATCCTTTTAAGACCGGACAACCAGCATGTTTAGTACGAAAATCACCATCTAACGAACGATGCAAATTATACCAAAATAATACATTGCCTTTGGCAGGCTTAACAGCAATTTTCAGAAATGGAAATGCAGTTGCACCACCTTGTTCCACATCGGATAACTAAGCAAACATAAGGAGAATGAGGTGTAAGTAGTGGAAAGTGTTCAGGGTTAAATGGAAAAATTGAGAAAATGATTTATGAAAACAATATGAAACCAGTATAAAGTACATATTAGCATATGAATGTTGGTAAATGTGTACGTGTATTAAGTATTAAGGTGGTATTTATTTCTGATGTCAGAGAGTCCTTATTAGATTCTTAAACAATCTAGTCATGTATGTCTGTCGGTCTGTTGAAAGCTTGACTGAAATATTAACTATTAATGATATTGAAAATAGGCAATATTCTCCAGTATACCTTTTAAAAGTCAGAAATATGTTGATTAGTCAGTAATCGTGGTAAAATTTTGCATAATTTAGTTAATTGGTCCAAAATTGTCGCTACCTTTTATAGAAACCTTCTTGCAGAAAATCTCCTTATTGTCAGTAAATCCTTGAATACTGCTGATATTAATTTTTAAGAAATCAGTAATTATTTAAAATTCTATAAGTAAGGTCCATATTTGACGCAAGACCACATCAAACATTCTTATTCGAAACTCATACCGATGTTCATATTAATATCTATATATTCGGTAAAACAATTTAGCATTAATTTAAGTAAATTACTAAATCGAGGTGATAAGTCCCCAAAGGGTCGATACAAAATCTCCTATGTCCGTATTCACAGGGCCTTATTCTGATATTAAATTTACGACACACGCTCATGATCGGTATAATTTTCATTGGGTTTATAAAATGTATACTTTTGCTAAATCCAAATCTAAATCGAACATTTTAAGTGGAAATATCCATATTTGCTGGGTGTATCTTCAAACTATAGGATTTTGTATCTTCAGTTGCAGGAAGCAATGGAAATCGGTCTTAAACGCCTTAAACCGATGGCAATTTTGAATGGCATCGTTACCATTATCACAACACAAAATTCATGAAATCGTCTTTAAGCCGAATCAATGCCTAGGCCGAATATATATGGCGCCAAATTAGCATTCTATATTTGGTGGGATCAAAAGAGCCTTATCTTCATTGAGCAGCTAAAATCGCTTGAAGAATTCCCGGAATATGGGATTTGAGCAAGATCAGTTAAAAACAAGTAAGAATGCATAGTGATTCTGAACCGATTGGTACATCAGCACAAATGCATAATACCCATAGGGGTTTAGGGTATAATATATGCAAAATATAGGTTGAAATGCTTTGCTTTATCTTCTTAGCCCAATATTTGCCCTGTCCGACTATTATTTGTTTTGATCAATACTAAACGCTTTCAATGATATAGTTTACTTAAAAATAGGGTCTCTGCATTTGTTCGTTCTTGGCCTTAAAAAGTTCTTTTGACGCTAATTTCAAATGCTGCCAGAAAAATGGGAAAGGGTATAACTTATAATGAATTTCTTTTAACGATCCCGTTAGTCACATGCATTTAGACAAAATCGCGTTCTTTTGGATCAGAGAAAATTTTGATTTCTTAAAATTATTCTCAAAAAGAGGTCCCTAATGTAAGATTATATTTTTCATTTTTAGAAGGACAGTGGCACAAGTTGAAGTAAATTTTCTTTATTTCTGTGTTTTCTGAATTTTTCTGTTATAATATTTTATCTGATTTTCTTTTATACTCTCTATTTCATAACACGAATTCATAAAAATTTTAATTGTTTTTTTACAAATTTACAATTGGACTGACGAATGTCGAGAGCTTAACGTGAACACCTGCCATGACGGCCTTATTTCACGGTGGTCTTTTTCATCCACTGGGTAGACTAGAGATGGTCTACCACGCGCCCCTGAATCCTTCTATGAAGAACTCAGGTGACAATTTTTGTACATGGCTGAGCCGGTCCATGTGCAAGCACTTTGCTGAAGAACTCGAGCTATATAATCTCTTGCCATAGAAGCCCCGTTGCGGAATGACAGGCAGCAAGGGGTCAATCTCAATGCATACCCCGACAAGAAAAAAGCAATCACTGGTCTAAAGTCAATAGAAGGGGCGACAAACCCCAACATCAAGTGAAATCAATCTACCGGTATAGCGGAAGGTGACCGACCACCCTTATGATGTCGTGCAAGATTGCATTATTTAAAATGCAATCCCCATCAACTAATGACACATTCCAGTGCATTCCTTAACCTCTTAAAGCCCACGCAACCACTCTACTGAGATGGCTTTGTTGATTTGGCAACAGCACCTAGAGAGGTATTTGGTAGCCCGAAATATACAGCCAATAAATCAGGATCCCTCTATATGTCTGATAATGTAATCTAAAGTCAATTCGAACCCAATAATTGCTCCGACGAGTTGAGGGAACGGACCTCAACCATATGCCGCGTAGCATGAAACAATATGAATCCTGTTAAGATGGCAACAGCACCGAGAACTTTCCTGAAGTAAAAGCTCTACTAAATCAATACTAGTCCCCTGTCGGGCAGAGGAGTCTTTCCCGATCGTTCACCAATTACATCAGTTCCATTCTCAGACCATAAAGAACGATCTACGGAATGACAGCCAACTACCAAGTGTCAACCTGAAAATTCCCCAACACATACTGGCGCCCTACTACGCGAAGAGTAAGAGATACTCAACGGGTTCAGGAATCCACCATAAGTTGCTTTGTCACATCACCCAGTGACATCTGTTGAGATGGCACCAGCACCGGAGAGAGAATCCAGACATATTTGGCATTTGGATATATCAGTCCTTAAGCCAACATTCTCTCCCCGCGAATTTGGGTATAAACCACAGCCACTACGTGGATCCCGAAGGAACCTCAACCAATTGACCGGTCAGGACTAGGTCTTGTGGGCAACTGGCTACCCATAGTGCCCGTGGTACTCTGGTTAGATCCCATGTCAAATCATTCCAAGGAAAGGCCGAGGATACATTAATACATTAGTAGCACCTCTATACCCCGGGATTGCAATACGCCAACATGAAGTTTTTCATCAAGGAAACATGCCCCGGGGAGATGGGTGGTGTAATTGGACTGACGGAGGGACTTCGCAAATTGATTTATAATTTTTTGAGTTTTATTGGAGATTTGCAGGACGAAATGTAATTAATTTCAGAATATCGCACTATTGAGCCCACTGTTTATTTGAAAATTCACATTTTCATTTCCACAATGTTTGTCCTTTAGATTGTGTAGATGGTTGTAGAACAGTTAAAGTAATCGTAAACACAATAGACTGACATGGTTATTTTGTCAATTTTTGCATAAAGTTTAACATCAATCTTGTGGAAAAAACTAGAAGAATTGGATTTTGCGTGCAGTACTTACCGCACAATGTTGTATGTTTTGACGACAACGTATGTTCATTAGGGTGTCCCGCAGATCAGTGTTTTTTAAGAATACCTCTCAAACGATATGTACCTCGCGATACTCTAATGTACATCAGAGTGTTTGAGACCCATTTCGAAATTATTGCAGAAAATTTTTTCTGAATATTAAGATTATCAATCGCTGGTAGGGAACTGAGGTTCTTTAAAAAAAAAATATTTTTTTTTTTTTTTCTCGTGTTCTATATGTAAATTAATGCTCATCTTTTGAGAGTTATTCCCACAAAAAGGGGTCCACGGGACACCCTAATGTACATACATATGTATGTATGTACTTTAAGCTTATAGTATCAAAGAATATATAAAATAAGAATGTGTTCAAAGTGTAAGTGAGTGTATCCTTGTATGTACTTACATAGAAAATTGAAGTTGATATACGATTGCCTTGGTCCTCTGGTATATTATCCTGAATCAAACAAATTGCAAACAGACATAAAAAAATATACATTCCATTATTATTCTTTGTTATTATGTACATACATACATTTAGATATCTACATATGTATGTGTTGGGGTTGCATGTCATGTTTAAGACCATTAAATGGTTTTTATTTTTTTTAACGACATCATCATCATCTCTTCTTTACTACTCACCATAAAGAAATCAAAATGTGGTTCATAGTGACCACCCAAACCATAATTAGCCACTTGTAATTCCTCACTGTATGTCATGTCCAAATTGGTTACATCATGTATATCACGTAACATTTGTTCCATGTACGGATGATTGTTATACGGCAGCCAGGCGTTTTTCGAAATGCGATAATTACGTTTTTTAGATGATGCATCTTCTCCGGCACGTACAGTGGAACGTTTCATATTGGGCATGGCTAAATCTTTGATTGTTTCGATTTTCTTATCGGTAATCATTTCGTGAAATACCATGACCAAGGGGTCTAAATTAAGTTCTTCCACTTTGATGGGAGCTAAGAGGCAGAAGGCACAATTTCCACTGTGATAGCGACAGCGTAGATTACGCTGTTCTGTGGGGGTCTGTTGGATTTCCTCGCGGCATACTTTTTCATAGGTTTTGAATTCCTGGCTGGCCTAGAAGTTAGTAAGGAACAGTATTTAGAAAACGTCATTCTCTCATTTTCTGAATTTTTAATAATTTCCTTAAATTAATATAATAATAATCCCTTACATGATATTCTGCCTCAATATCACCCGTCTCCGGTAATATCTCGGTATTTTCAAACATTTTTGCCACAATACTCTTACGCAATGGATCTTCATTCAAAATAATCTGCACCACTTTTAAAGCTGAATTCATATCACCCGTCTTAATCAAATTTTCCGCTAGCATTTCCATAAATTCCAAAGATATTTTATTATTATTAAACGAATCGAAATTTAAACGTTTAATTGATTCCTGCATCCAGGGTCTAGTTAGATTATAGGCCTTTGATTTGATAAGTTGTTCGCCCAACATCAAGCAATCTGACCAGGTCATATCGGTACTGAAAAATTTACGATATAACAAAACAATAGACAATGGTTTTATAAAAAGCGTTTCATTACTCACCCATATTTTATACCATTTAAAACTCCAGATGCTACTTGACCCACTTCTAAGTTGTATGTCTTTTGTAGTCTTACTAGTGCTAAAGCGGATTCTTCGAAATCGTCTTCAGAGGGATAGTCTAGAGAACTTCTTCGTTGATGTATTTGTTGCAAAAAACCTAGGAATAGATTTGCATTAGACAAATATTAATAGGAGCATTATTTTACTTTGTTAGAATATTTATTATGGGTCTAGTCACTGTAGAAATTGAAACAGTATTTAGTATTAGGGAGCCATAAATAATTAACTTTGAACTAGGTACTTGGCTGTTCCGTGGACCTATACGGCATTTTTAGGAGACCCATTTCAAAAAGATTGTTGACAATTTTTGGTAACATTTTCTATTGAGATCAAGATTTTCAATCGCTGTTCAGTACATTAATACGCATCAATTGTGAGGTATTCCCACATACGATTCTTAAAAAGGCAACTCCTCGGAACATAATAATGTACATAGGTCAGTAAAGTGAGTAGATACATATGTATGTATATGGCCAAAAATCGGCTAATTTTAATGTTCGATTTCATTTTATTTTTACTGGGAAATAAATTACCATAAATAAACTTACTTCTATGGGCTTCGGTAATTTGATCTTCATATTTATTCCATCCATTAAACAGACGATTAATTAATTTGTATGCATTTACTGGATTGGTGAGATAATTGTCTGTGTCAGCTGCAGCCAGTTCATGTTCTATATCTATTTTAAGTATTTCTCTGTAAAATAAAATAAAAAATATTTATACAGAATTACATGCATTTATTAAAAATTAGGTTATACTGAGTGCAAAAATAATGCCCTCTTTGGCATCCGTTAATTTAATGTGAGTATAAAATATATACAATGCATGTCAGATTATTGTAGTATTTGACTCCGCAAATCATTAATGCGGACCTCTCGAAAGTCCAAAAATGAACTTGCAATATATATTCTTAGTAGGGTTCTATAGTTGAAACGAAATGTCGACTTTTCGACCTTTTGCATTTAGTTAAAAGTCGACTTTTCGACCTTTTGCATTTAGTTAAAAGTCGACTTTTTGCATTTTATGAAAAGTCGATTTTTCGACTTTTTCATTTAATTAAAAGTCGACTTTTAGACTTTTCGACTTTTTACGACTTTTCTACTTTTTTTGACTCTTTTCCACTTTTTCCAACTTTTCGACTTTTTGACTATTTTCGACATCTTTCGACTTTTTTCGACTATTTTTTGGCTTTTTTCGAGTTTTTCCGATTATTATAGAGTTTTAGACTTTTTTTCCTCCTTTTTTAAATTTTCGAATATTTTTTACTTCTTTCTACTATTTTCGAGTTTTTGACTTTTTCCAACTTTTTAGACTTTTTTCGACTTCTTTCGACTTTTCGACTTTTATTTACAAAGTCGACTTTTCGACATTTTTGACTTTTATTTACAAAGTCGACTTTTCGACTTTTTTCATAAACGATAGGCGAGTTATCGACTTTTTTGGATTATTCGAAAGTCGATTTATAGAACCCTAATTCTTAGTCGAACTATAACACTTTGGCGATTTAAAAGCATAATTATAACAATTCTAACTTAAGCTTCATTAAGACCGTGATTCGGCGCCGTTCGCAGCAATTCGGCCTTTGTTATACCATGATTATAACTTTTTTGCCCTACAATCAGCGTTACCGTTGAAAAATTTCGAAAAGTTGCACAAAAAGGGTATTTTTCTCAAAAAGTCGCACTGAAAGGGGATTTTTAACACAAAAAGTGTCAACGTAGGCAAAATCATTTCATTTGTATTTAAATGTGCATTAAATTAGTAAATAATTAACCATATTTTAATTAGCAATAAAATTATAATAATAATGCTCAGATGTAAAATAAAAATTCTGTCGATGCACCCACTATCAAATAATTTACCCCATCTTCTGCATTTATCGTTGTAATATCTTTCCGAAATAGAATAAACGGAGGCTGAGAAGAGACATAAATTTGTATTAAATCAACGATTTTTATATTTTTTAAATCGTTCTTTAGCTGTCAGCTCTAAGGTTTCAGCGTATTAAGGACATTCATAAAATATTTTTCCAGTTAGACGATTCACCAATTTTGAATATCAAATACTGGGGGTTTACTCTGTAACTCGATTCGAATGAACAAATTTTCGAATTTGTATGTTAAATACATTGTGTTACGAAAGACCTTTTGAATCGAAATACAGAGTAAACTCCTTGATCAACTCAGAATATGTTTGAAAATTCCACTTACCATGCTCACTATTTGTGGGCCCAGTCATGCCTAGAACAGTCAAATATACAGAAATAGATTTATATAAAAGCCTACATAAAATCGTTGAGCGTCTTCTACATGTAAGAACATATATTGCTATAAAATTTATGCGCTCATACCGCAAATTACAAGATAATTTTATAAAATTTGGCACATCTTGGACCAATAAATAAATTTTAAGCGATTTTCGGAATTTAATCCTATATTTGACTATGATTTAATCAATAATACTGAATTTCATTATCGTATATCAATAGTTTCATGAACATCAATACTATTTTCGGAATAGTGCATTCAATGGGGTAAGAACATTTATAGACCGATCCACATAAACATTGGTAGAAATATTTTGGTTTCTTTAAAATTTATTTATCCCGAATTTCATAGGTATAACAACACTTTTAAATCTGTAATGAGTGTTAAAGTTATTTTCTGTAGGAGATGAAGATCATATGGGTGTAGTGTCAACTATAAACCAATCTTCATAAAATTTGGTAAAAAGATTAATTTGTTTATTTTTTATGGGTTAATTATATCTAGATCCTCATAAAATTTAGTATGCAGTTTTCAGATTCTATAGAAGTTAAAGACTGTTATGAGCGTTAAACTTATATTTTGAAGAGGACCGTCTAAAGGGAAAAAGGTCAATTATGGACGGATTCTTATTAAAACTTAACTAAAATATTTCGGTTAATATAAAATGAGTTTTTGTCGAATTTCATTGCTGTACTTGTTTTTCTGGGGGATATACATTTTTAAAGAAAGATACATATAAACAGGTTTATCAAGCCAGTATTTAGCATTAAAGTAATTTTCTGAAGCGGACCTTAAATATGGGAATTGGGTCAAATGTCTTCCGATCCTTATACATTTTTGAAAAAAGATTTCGGTTTTTATCAAACTAGTTCCGTTATCCGTTATCTCAATCTCCGGTTATCGTTTAACCTCTAGATATTCTGCCGGTTAAAAATATATTTGTATGAAAACTGTCAATGTATCGTTCCAATAAAATATAACTAGACATTGAGAAAGTGGGGTACCTATGTCTGTTAAAGTTGTTTTTCGGAGGGCACTTGTATGGGGCTATGCGAAAAAGTTGGCTAATATTGTCCATTATCAATACTAAACAAGCCCAACATATAGGATATATATGTGTAAAATTGCTCTAGCTTTTTTCGTTCGGTCTCGATCATGCTTTCAACAGACAGACAGACGGACATGGCTAGATAGTCTTAGAATTCAATAGGACCCAGAATATATATGTATGTATACTTTTGTGGATATACTTCGATGTGTTACAAACGGAATGACAAAAACAATCCCCATCTTTTTTATGGTGGGTATAAGAACACAAAAATGTGTTTTATTCAAAAAGGGGCAAAAAGTGGCAAAAAACGAAAGAAGTCGCAAATTTAGTTCATTTTGACAAGGGGTCATAAAAAGTGGCAAAGCACTCGAAAAAGGGTCAAATTGCGACTTTAGTCTCACAACGGTAACGCTGCCTACAATGGCCCTATTGAGAGGCGAGTTCGGTGAATACTTTATTTAACTTTTGGGGACTGTCGCTTAGATAATGCGATTTAACGCCTTTAGACTAATTTTTGTGGGGCTCTGTTAAGCTTATGTCTAAAGAGACAAGCCCGCTATGGTTAACGCACTGGATCGATATGTTGTAGAGAATATGCCAAAATTGGATATAGAGTATGAAACATTTGAGACGGAGCCACGATCACATTTACATAAATTCACCTTTAAACATTGAATTATATAGATCGTTATATCGACTCAAATAAATACTTCATTAATTTCTCTGAACTCTAAGACTTTTTCATAACCAAATCGGAAAGCTCTTAAAAAATCACCCATTATAAGATACGAGACGGCACTCATAGCCGATCCGTTCTTATCTTGAGGCGAATCGAAAAAAGCCACAGTTACAGGTCACATCATCAATGTATAGTGGACATATTTTACTCTTTTACTCAAACAGTAGGCGAGTAGGAATTAGAAAATGGCCGGAAATTTTAGACGAAAACCGATAATAACACTAGCTACCAGGCGAGAGACACCCATATTAGGAACTATAAAAATTGGTCGAACGGATGCGAAAAGGATAGTGAATGCTGGAACACTTTTCTGTCATTGTCTGACTTTGTAGAAATTAAATCCAAATATCTTGGGTGTGATATTTTTCCAGATATTAACCATCAGGGATGTAGTTCCCACTGACAAAAAACTATATATGGATTATAGAAGTACACAACAGAACCAATAGGGGACTAGGTGTTTCGGATCTTTTAAACCTTAGATTTCTTCAGAAAATGCCTTCTCAAAATTGAAAGAAATATACATAGTTTTATAAAAGATTGCGAACGTGTTTGTGGTTAAAAATAAATAAATGTGATATGGAAAAATAAATTAAAAAAACTATTAATAAAACTATAGAGAAAGACTAAATTTGCCATTTATTTCCGAAGTCAGTTTCTTATCAATTATTCAGGGTCACTAAAATAGTTTAAGAAAAAACATTATTTACTCGATACCAACATAGTTTAAATGGTATTGTGTATTCATGCTGATATTTGTAACACAACAGAACTAAGAATCTTTTGAATCGAAACCAGAATTTTATTTAAGCTCATGTCTGGTATTTATGACCCAGGTTAATTTAGTTACGATCACTTAATTAAACAGGCCGACAAATTTTTAACCCAGAGATCAAGGAATAATTTTCTATCGCTGAATCCGAATCTGGCTTCGGAATATCTCCATTAGATCATCCTTTAGAAAAGTATAACGTGGTCTCAGGGATTCGACTATTTTCAAATTTTAGAACCAAATATTTTTATAAAATTCTGGTCCCTAAGTTGTTAAAATAGGGTTCTTATAAAATGCGATTAGACTCCTAATAACGTTAATAACTGGTCAATAACTTAACGTGAAGGGTGATCTTACTGTCAGTCACAACTAACAAATATTATTCTAATCTATTCGTTAGGCAATCTTTTGCGATAAAACTAGTTCATTTTATTATTTGAAATAAGCTTTCTAAAATATACGAAAATTTTGCAATATTTATAGACATTTATGCTTAAAACTTACTAATTAGATTTTCATCTAAAATTCTCAACATGTTTAACTGGTTGAAGTGTATAAATGATCATTAAATAAAAGTTAGTCGGAAACTGTCTAAAACTCCATATCATTTTGGTATAGAAACCAAATTTAAATTGAATTTAAGTTAGATATGCATAAAATAAAATGTTCTCAATCTCTTATAACCGATTTATAAGCATATTCATGTTTCTACAGACATTTAGCTAAATTTCACGTAACATATATGGTAATAACAGCTTACCAAAGCAAAATGAGATGAAAAAAGAAGTTGAAAAAAGCACATAAATTTGACACTTTAAGGAAATATAAATAAATAGAATTTATGCATGAGAACAGTTTGTATTGTTTAGAAATCCATTAGCTTTAGTAGATACATTTAAATTTTGTTTGCATATTAATTAATAGCCATACAAAAGAGACTTTCACAAAAAAAAACTGTTAACGCGCTGACGTATTGTTTAATAAACTGCTATATTTGTTCACACCATTGTTTGTTTATTTGACATTTGCTTGAGCAAACGGTTAATATTTTTATTGATGTATAAAAACCTCTTTAGTTTTAAAAATATTGCTATTAAATTAATTAACTCAATCAGTAGTACTAAGTTGCCGGCAAAGTGAAAATAATTGCTGGTTCTACTAGTTTTCTATAGCTACAATTTCGAGATATTTATGCATTTGTTTTTTTATTATTTAGAATATTTTGTTTATTTAACAAATATCATGTATTTGTCACTTAAAACGTTAATTTATGTCATGTGAATCCGCTTTAAACATTTATGGGAACATAAAATTTGAACTACTGCTGGTTTTAATGCCAAGCTGCTGAATAATGTTTAACTCGTGCCGTTTCGTCTAAGAAGCTCGAGCTTTTGTAGAAGCTTAAAAAGTGACCGAATCTCAATATATGCTTTATAATGTATATTTTAACATTTAAACAATATATATATATATATATTTTTTTTTGAGAAATTTTGGAATTACTAAAAATTTCCTCGATTTTAATGAATCTTAGGACTCCTGATAAAATGAACATCACTCTAATTAGAAAGTGGTCTCAACCCTATGATATATATATATATATTAACTCGTAACACTGAACCAGAGTAGCTGAGAGCTACAGAAATCAAATCAATATATAAAGTCCAGAAAAGGCTAAAACTTTAACTTTTCATACTTTAAAATCTGTATTAAAAGCAATGAAGAATTATAGTCGTGTGATTACCGACTATTTAATAGAATCTGTTAAAATATAAAATACCTTAATCTTGTTATCTTTAAAATTACCATCTATATTCTTCCCATTAAGTTTACATGGACAGTAGAAGAGTCCAAAAATTATCGATTTTCTTTAGATGAATCCTATTTGGTTCACTAGTGTCTTTACATTACTTGTGTAAAATTGTAGCCTAATTAGATAACGGGTACTCGTTATGGAAATCGTTCAAAAGTTGATAAATTAAGTAAATCAATTTCTATAGAAAACACATACCCTTCATGGAAGGCTGATCTTAGACTCCAGCTAGTATCTTAGAAAGGGAAATTCTATAATACTAGCTGGATTAGGAGTATTTTAAACGATAAAGCAAAGCGATAAAGATGGTATCCCTTTCAAAAGGCTGATAAATTACGATTTACACATCTATGTATTAAGTTTTATTTCGAATCATTTTAGAATGCCATGATGTTAGAAAAAATAACCTATATGAGACCATAGGTATATTTAGGGCAGAAGTCTATATAATTTAATTGAAATTTCTTAAAACAAAACACTTATTTCGATTATTATCTTAATACAGAATTTTTTTAAACAATTTTAAAGAGGCCGAAAATTTTTTAACATTGATGCCAAATTATGCTTTTCTAAAGGATTGAGCAGCGGTGAATCGGGCAACAGAATTTCTCCATCACATCTGGCATTCAAGATATCGTGTACTGAAGTTTGAAAAAAAAACATTGTTTTCCCTTTGTTGAATGCCATTGGAAAGTCCATTGTTTAAAAAATTGCTGTAATTGCTGAGATATCATCCGTTGACGGACGGACAGACATCGTTAAATCGAACCAGAAAGTGATTTTGAAACGATTGGAACATCATCAGGTAGATGTGGATCTAATATTGTTAATCGTTATAAACAATGTTTACACAACACACTTCCTTAAATAGAGGCCAAGAAATGCCCATAAAGTAGTTTATGTCAAGTGACCAACTTTTGAAACTGATGTCTTCCGATCGAGATAAGTTAATTAGTTAGTAAGTTAGTTAGTTAGTTAGTTAGTTAGTTAGTTAGTTAGTTAGTTAGTTTAGTTAGTTTAGTTAGTTAGTTAGTTAGTTAGTTAGTTAGTTAGTTATTTAGTTCGTTAGTTAGTTTAGTTAGTTTAGTTCGTTAGTTAGTTAGTTAGTTAGTTAGTTAGTTAGTTAGTTAGTTAGTTCGTTCGTTAGTTAGTTTAGTTAGTTCGTTCGTTAGTTAGTTCGTTCGTTCGTTCGTTCGTTCGTTTTCTTTCGTTCGTTCGTTCGTTCTTCGTTCGTTCTTCGTTCGTTCGTTCGTTCGTTCTTTTCGTTCGTTCGTTCGTTTTTCGTCGTTCGTTTCGTTCGTTTTCGTTCGTTCGTTCGTCGTCGTTCTTTCGTTCGTTTGTTTGTTTGTTTGTTTTGTTTGTTTCGTCCGTTCGTTCGTTCTTCGTTCTTCGTTCGTTCTTCGTTCGTTCGTTCGTTCGTTCGTTCGTTCGTTCGTTCGTTCGTTCGTTCGTTCGTTCGTTCGTTCGTTCGTTCGTTCGTTCGTTCGTTCGTTTCGTTCGTTCGTTCGTTCGTTCGTTCGTTCGTTCGTTCGTTCGTTCGTTCGTTCGTTCGTTCTTCGTTCTTCGTTCGTTCGTTCGTTCGTTCGTTTCGTTCGTTCGTTCGTTCGTTCTTCGTTCGTTCGTTCGTTCGTTTTCGTTTCGTTCGTTTCGTTCGTTCGTTCGTTCGTTCGTTCGTTCGTTCGTTCGTTTCGTTCGTTCGTTCGTTCGTTCGTTCGTTCGTTCGTTTCGTTCGTTCGTTCGTTCGTTCGTTCGTTCGTTCGTTCGTTCGTTCGTTTTCGTTTCGTTCGTTCGTTCGTTCGTTCGTTCGTTCGTTCGTTCGTTCGTTCGTTCGTTCGTTCGTTCGTTCGTTCGTTCGTTCGTTCGTTCGTTTCGTTCGTTCGTTCGTTCGTTCGTTTCGTTCTTCGTTCGTTCGTTCGTTCGTTTCGTTCGTTCGTTCGTTCGTTCGTTCGTTTCGTTCTCGTTCGTTCGTTCGTTCGTTCGTTCGTTCGTTCGTTCGTTCGTTCGTTTCGTTCGTTCGTTCGTTCGTTCGTTCGTTCGTTCGTTCGTCGTTCGTTCGTTGTTCGTTCGTTCGTTCGTTCGTTCGTTTTGTTCGTTCGTTCGTTCGTTCGTTCGTTCGTTCGTTCGTTGTTCTTTAGTTAGTTAGTTAGTTAGTTAGTTAAGCCTACGTGTATTCCTTCGGATTTAATGTATGTATAGGCATTCTGCTTTCAAAGGCCTCTATCGGACCTGTTGTGCACTCCTAACCATTAACCAACCGGAGGCCACATCATGATAAGAAGATAAGAGGAAACATATGTTCGGCTAACTACTATTCAATAGGATTACCATTAGTGCAGTTTCATCTCGAAAAGTTGGGTCTCTTTACATGAAATCTCCATTATGCATTCTTGTGAGGTTTTGAGGCGATCTAGACTAGTTCTATAAAAACCAAATAATTGACCCAGGTCCTTTCCAAACTTAACTTAAAATTTAGGACACATGCTTTGATGATTGAAATTCAATGATGTGCTCTTTAGCATGATTATGACCGATAACGATATATATACGTGTTTTGAAATATATATTTTTTGAAATATATGTTTTTAAATAAATTGAAATTCTGCATCATAATTATTAACTGCCAAAAATTAATTTAATAAATTTTGAAAGTTGAATTAACCATCTTGGTGTAATTTATATTTAATTAACCAAATTTTTATAATACTGCTATTATTTATCTAATATTTGCTATAAAATAATTCTATAATAGATTTTAAATTTTAATGTAAAGAATTTATTTCCCATTAATTACGTTTATTTAACCAGCCTGTATAGATTTTATGGCATCACTTAATTATTTGCATTAATTTAACTTGTTTGAATTTTATCGATTCTTTGTTTATTGACTAAACTTAATTTTCTCATACGTGTTTTATTTTTTATGACAGTTTATTTATTTTTTTTTCTTCATGATTTACTTATTATAGTAATTAATGCTGCACCTATATTTAAACATTATGTTTTCCTTTTATAATAAAAATTTAGATTTTTAGATTTTTATTTAAAATCAACCGGATTTATTCCAGCTGAATAAACAATTTATTTTAAAAGTCTCTATTTTTCTTTTCTATTCTTTTTTCTCTTGTTTCACTCACTTTTCCAATAGGGCAATATGTTGTTTGGCTGTAGCGACATAATCCTTTAGATCTGCCACCAGTATTTGTTCAGTCTTGAGTAAACTTTCCAAACCCGCTATCGAGGAATAGAATTCATTTTCATATTTATTACACTTGACAGCACTGAAGCAATTAACAATTATAATAAATACAAATAGGAACGTTAACAGCCGTTGCCGCATCATTGTCAACGACGACAGCTCTGTAGAGGACGTTGAAAATATTGCTTTTCCGCCGCTGGCAACTGTTTCAAACTTTATTGTGTGTTTTGTAACAAAAAAGAGCAAAAAATTGTCAACTGTTGCTAAAATTACTGTTTATTTTAATTTGTTTGCTTTAAATAAATTACATTTATTTTCTTTTGCTCATTTACACAATAATTCACTAGACAAACTGTCTGAGAGCATTAAAGACACGTTGTTGTTGTTTTAACATTTAATACGAATTTTATAAATTTTATTTCAAATACGCGCAATTTTTATTTTTTAATCTTCGTATTTTTTTGTTTTTTAAGTTAAGATCTTTTTCTTGTTGCCTGTCCAAAGTTAGTTTATAAACTAAATTAAAAATGTATATTTAGATGTTTTGTTTAAAATGAAATGTGTATTCTGTTTTATTAAATTATTCTTTAAAATGCTCGCTCATCAATAAAGTGTCGCAGTCAGTGTATGCCGTAAGCAAAACTGCCGGCAACAGCGTCTACAATAACAAAAACATTTGATATCTCAACTCTGTTTATATTGCCGGTTTGTTGGTTGATGCTTTAGACTTAATTTAACCCTATGATAGGATGTAGAGTTAAGAGTGAATTGCTTAACACACAAGACTATCTATAGGTTAGTTTGAAGAGAAGGATGCTATAAGCACCAAGTCGTTTTGTACGCTCCTGAACATAGAATTTTTTTGGAGAGTGAATCACACTTACAGTGAAATTAACTCCCGATGATCAATGTTTCTTAGGGATATTATATTCAGTATAACATCGAAAGTGTTACAGTGTTTCACTAACCTCATGCCACATTCTACATTCGTCACCTACCGCTCGGTACACCGGAGATGGTGGATTCGATTCCCACTTGGGAAACTCGTTAAGAGCGCACAACAGGCCCGATAACTAATTATTAATTAACTAACTAACTAACTAACTAACTAACTAACTAACTACTAACTAACTAACTAACTAACTAACTAACTAACTAACTAACTAACTAACTAACTAACTAACTAACTAACTAACTAACTAACTAACTAACTAACTACTAACTAACTAACTAACTAACTAACTACTAACTAACTACTAACTAACTAACTAACTAACTAACTAACTACTAACTAACTAACTAACTAACTAACTAACTAACTAACTAACTAACTAACTAACTAACTAACTAACTAACTAACTAACTAACTAACTAACTAACTAACTAACTAACTAACTAACTAACTAACTAACTAACTAACTAACTAACTAACTAACTAACTAACTAACTAACTACTAACTAACTAACTAACTAACTAACTAACTAACTAACTAACTAACTAACTAACTAACTAACTAACTAACTAACTAACTAACTAACTACTAACTAACTAACTAACTAACTAACTAACTAACTAACTACTACTAACTAACTAACTAACTAACTAACTAACTAACTAACTAACTAACTAACTAACTAACTAACTAACTAACTACTAACTAACTAACTAACTACTAACTAACTAACTAACTACTAACTAACTAACTAACTAACTAACTAACTAACTAACTAACTAACTAACTAACTACTAACTAACTAACTAACTAACTAACTAACTAACTAACTAACTAACTAACTAACTAACTAACTAACTAACTAACTAACTAACTAACTACTAACTAACTAACTAACTAACTAACTAACTAACTAACTAACTAACTAACTAACTAACTAACTAACTAACTAACTAACTAACTAACTAACTAACTACTAACTAACTAACTAACTAACTAACTAACTAACTAACTAACTAACTAACTAACTAACAACTAACTAACTAACTAACTAACTAACTAACTAACTAACTAACTAACTAACTAACTAACTAACTAACTAACTAACTAACTAACTAACTAACTAACTAACTAACTAACTAACTAACTAACTAACTAACTAACTAACTAACTACTAACTAACTAACTAACTACTAACTAACTAACTAACTAACTACTAACTAACTAACTACTAACTAACTAACTAACTAACTAACTAACTAACTAACTAACTAACTAACTAACTAACTAACTACTAACTAACTAACTAACTAACTAACTAACTAACTAACTAACTAACTAACTAACTACTAACTAACTAACTAACTAACTAACTAACTAACTAACTAACTAACTAACTAACTAACTAACTAACTAACTAACTAACTAACTAACTAACTAACTAACTAACTAACTAACTAACTAACTAACTAACTAACTAACTAACTAACTAACTAACTAACTAACTAACTAACTAACTAACTAACTAACTAACTAACTAACTAACTAACTACTAACTAACTAACTAACTAACTAACTAACTAACTAACTAACTAACTAACTAACTAACTAACTAACTAACTAACTAACTAACTAACTAACTAACTAACTAACTAACTAACTAACTAACTAACTAACTAACTAACTAACTAACTAACTAACTAACTAACTAACTAACTAACTAACTAACTAACTAACTAACTAACTAACTAGCTAGCTAACTAACTAACTAACTAACTAACGAACTAACTAACTAACTAAATAACTAACTAAATAACTAACTAACTAAATAACTAACGAACTAACTACTAACTTCAAGTTCTCCTTCTGTTTGGGAGATTTCTTTCACATTACTTAATATCCTATCTCCTTGTCTCCGACGCTGTTGCTTTTGTCAAGGTAACTTTAGCTCTTCGTTAATAATAACATCCGAATACAATGCTTACCACTGGCAGAAAAGTCGATTTTGGCTTTCTTAAAGTCTAATACATTTTAAATCCAGCACACATATCTCATTCATGGACTTCCGCCTATAAACTAGTATTTAGATCTGTAAGATGATAATATTTTTGGGGGTTCTCTATCACCAATCTTAGAGTGTCCATTTGATCATGATTCTCTCTGAATTCAATATTATATAATTTCCTTGATTGTTTGTCTCTGGTATTAGATCGGGAACATCTAATGTTTGTCCAATATGTATAGTATGCACTGATGTCATGACCTATATCAACCGTTTTTAGTTCCCCTAGAGATGGCTGGTGTTGAGATCTCTCAGTTGATAATATATTTCGGTTTTTGGGTATCCTATCTCCCATCTTAGAGTCATAGCACCAAATTCCCATATGTGTTAGCGCTAATGTTCCATTTGATCATGATTCTCTATTTGAAATCAATCTTATATAATTTCCGAGATTGTCTGTCCTTGGTTTTAGATCGGGAACGTCTGATAGTTGTCCAAAACAGTCCAATATGTATAGTTGTTTCGTTCTTCTAGAGATGGCTATTTTTGAGATCTGTAAGATGATAGAATATTTAGGTTTTTTGGTTCTCTGTCTCCCATCTTAGAAGTCGTCCGTGTCCAATATGTGTTAGCGCTAATGTTCCATTTGATCATGATTCTCTATCTGAGATTAATGTTAATGTTTCATAATTTGTAAACTTAGTATTTGTTGATAATAAAACTAGTATAGGTTCACTTCTTTAAAAGACTTGAATAGTTGGTTACTTCCAGATAGCTGCACTATTCTCCAAGTGCAAATGTGTTTAACTGAAATGGTGTGTGATAGATCTGATAATATACTCACCTTATCCTATTAGTACTGGGTCACCTACATACATATATTCTCTAAAATATGTGAACCATTCATTCAGTTTAGTAAAAACCGGTTTTAATAACATCAGGTCGAATTAAATTTAATAAGTCTCTTAGTTCTCATCAGAGTTGTAACTGGGAAATTTCATATGAGATGTCTGTTTCTTTAGTGTTCGGAACAAATTCCTAGATATCTGTTAATGTTTTATACCGGATTTTGTATCACACTAACTATAACCCTAAAAGTATGCTTCAACCTATTCCGTAAATTACATTGTTATATTTTAAAGGTTAAAATAAATAAAATTTTTACGACAAGTCCATAAAGTACTAAATAAACATAAATAATGAACGTGTTTTTGTGTGAATTTTGATGTGTTTTTTCTGTACGTTGTTGTTTTTTCTTCTGTTTGTTTGGTGTTCCTTAGTTTTTGTTGTTTTATGTGTTGTTTTTTCTGTGATGTCAGTAATTTTTTCTTCAGATTTCGACAGACAGAAACAAAAACAACAAACAAAAGAAAATTCTTAATGGTCAAGCGAGACTTAATGAATACGGTTTAAATTAATGTTACTTTCAATTTTATACCTGTAAACTGTCATTAATGTAAGAAAATTATTTAATGTTATTTTGGTTTATAAGATTCGAAAGGAGAGAAATAATAATGAAAATTATAAATGAATTTTGATTTAGTAATGCATCCACCTTTTTCTAACAGGTTTTGATTGGAAAATATGCACAACGATGTGAGTTTGTTTGGAAACAATATCAGGTAGAATATTTTTTCAATGCTGTCGACATTGTAAGGGGCTTGGGACGATTATTGAAAGGGAAAAAATCAATGAAACATATTATTGTTTTAAACTTGCAAAATTTTTAAATGATTTTTAATTTATTTGAATTTGTTCTTGGTAAACAAATTTTAATTTCTGGTTTAATAGATTTTGAATTAAAACTGCTTGCTATAGAGTATCGCTATATGTATTAACATACTAGTCGCTTTTTTTTTGCTTTAACTAAAAACAACTTTTACTACTTTCTTGCAAATATAATCAATTTTATATAATCTTATTAAAGACACAAGTTCAATCTTTTAATCTTTTCTTAAAAATCACAAACAAATAATTAATATTAAAATTATATTCTTAATCTTTTAAATCTATGGGGAAGTGCTTTCATTGTTGTTGCTAATATAGCTGTTCGATCACTATGGGTAATAAACATTGATTTTAACACGTTCATAAGAAGACATTAAAACGTCATAAAATATGATGATTTCCATAGTGATTAAGCCAGTTAGTTGGCCTAATAATAGCACATACATACAATTAAATTTAATTAAATGGATGTATTTTATTGTTATTTATACACTGTTTTTTTTTTTGCATATGAGAAAGGTGTTCAAGTGATGTGTTGCGATAATGATTGTGATTCATTTTAGCAATTTGAAACTAATTTTTATTATATAGATCAATGTTAATAATAGCAATAAGATTTGTACCTGAAATTTTATATAAAACTTCTTGATTTTCAATTTCATCGCGGTATTAATGTTAAAGTTATTGGATGAAGGGAACTTTTTGTGGGGTTTAGGGTTTTGAATAATCGGGGTACCTAGGACTTGCAGAGGCGCCTGGTGAGCACCCGGATGGATTCCGCTCTAAACAATCAACAGAGAATATTTACAGAACATTTCTCTTTTACTCAGAACATTTCAGATTCTTATAAGAACACAGTATACTATACATATTTTGATATGTTACAAATGAAATGTCAAGATATCTTGACTTCTAAGATGTTTGGCATACACCTATTATCAGTTTTTAGTAATCAAATAATTCGAGTTGTTGATAAAAGCTAATGAAAGGCAAAACATATTATTAATACGTTTTATTTTTATATAATATAATTTTCCGACCCTATAGAGTATACATATTCTGGATCCTTATAGATAGCGGAGTCTGTCTGTCTGTGTGTCTGTTGAAATAAATTTTCTGAAGACTCCAGATATGTTCGGAATCGAAATCTTCAATAATTCTATAACACAAGCTTTTGAAAAGTTTCCTATTTAAAATCAGCAAAATCCGTTTATAGTTGGATTTACTTTTTAAACACATTAGTGTAGAGTATTATATGATTAGAAATACCGATTTAATTTTTATACCCACCATCAAAAAATAGGGAGGGTATATTGATTTTGTCATTCCGTTTGTAACACATCGAAATATTGGTCATAGACCCACAAAAATATATATATTCTTGGTCCTTATTAAATTCTAAGATGATCTAGCCGTGTCCGTACGTCTGTACGTCTGTCCGTCTGTCCGTCTGTTGAAAGCACGATAGAGTCGGAACGGAATGAGCTAGAGGCTTAAAATTTTCCAGAGAGCTAGAGGCTTATTCTCTATAGATAAGATTTGTTTGGTATTGAATATGGGCAATATCGGTCCACGTTTTCGGATAGCCCCCATACAAGTGGACTCCCGAATAACAGCTTTAACGGGCATATCTGTTTTAAAAGTATGAGTATAGCGATATAATTCGACATAAATAAGTCTCATATGAGCCAAAATATCCCTACCAAATTTTATGAGGATCGGTCCATAATTGACTCTACCCCCCATATAAGGTCACTTTCGGAAAATCACTATAACGCTCATTAGCAATGAAATTTGATATAAGTAAGTCTCTTACGAGCAAAAAGCTAATTTTATGTGGATCGGTACATAATTGACCCTACCATGGGGGTAGGTCCCCTTTAGATAATTATTTTAACGCTCTTTAATGGCTTAAAAGTACGAGTGTAGAGATTAAATTTGGCATAAGTAATTTGCCTATGTGCCAAAACCTAAGAAACTTTTATGGGAACGTAAATCTTTCCACCGAATTTAATGCGGAAAATGTCGGAAACTGATATTCGATCTAAACATGTTTTGTATGAACCAAAATTATGAAAAATTCTATGAAATACGGTCAATAATTCAACCTACCTATCATATAAGGTCCTCTTCAGTAAATCTAATGATGTTTATAGAAGAGTATTCCTTTTACGGCATACGGTTTGATGGTGGGTATTTCAGATTCGGCATAGCCGAATATAGCACTCTTACTATTGTTAATTTTATTAATTATTTGTGTATAACTTTGGACAATTGGGTGTGTTTTATTAAGTAATTATTTCCAACAAACAACTAGTGATAAATGAAGATTTTTTTCTATATTCACATTTTTCTTAACCGTCCATTTATTTCAACTTGTTTAAAAACTTAACATGTTATTGACACTAGTAGACCTTTGCGTTTTTTTTCTTCAATGTGGTTAAATAAATGTTGGCATTTCGTCTTTTCATCAAGTCATATAACATTTACTATGCTAAAATTTGTCAGATAGATTTAATGAAAATTATTTGTTTAATAATTGACCAAAACTCCAAGACGCCAAGGTTGTTAAATATCTAAACATACAGTAAATAATGTACAAAAATATTTGTTTTTTTTGATTTTTATTAAGATTTTATTTTAGCTTAAGTAAATTTACAAACTATTTAAAGCAAACATATTAATTTTATTTATCTAAGACAAAAATTTAAATATTTTTGATGGAGGTGGTGGCAGCTACAAAGAAAATAATAAAATAATTAAAGAAAATTCATAATAGACATAAAATACTTACTTAATTGACTGCCTCCAATAACTGGACACACATGATAGTTTGATCTGTAATCATGAGCCTGAAACTCATTGAGCTGAGACCAATACAGCACAGAACCACGAGGCAGATTGATGCTTAATTCCAGTTGGGGAAATATCACAGAGCCGCCCATTAAAGGTTGTTGTAACTGTAAACAATTTATAATTTAATTTATGATTTTAGGTTTTTTTTTGGTATTAAACATTTTTACTCACATTAACGAGTAATTTAGCTTGTTTTTTATTTTCATAATTCACACTTAAGTTCTCTAATTCCATTAGATTTTCAAAATTATAACGTTCCACTTGCCAGTCATCATACAACTCCTGTCCATAATGTCCAATTACATAATGTAATTTACCATTAATTTGACGCATTTTTTTCTGACCAATTTTCGTAAACTGAAACGTGTCGTCTTGTTCTTCGACAACAAAATCTTTTAATTCTTCTATTTGGCTGTCACTTAGAACATTGTGATAAATGACAATGTACGGATCTAAACTCAAGAGTTCAATATTTAAAGGCTGCAACAATAAGTATGGCAAATTGTTTGTAACAATCGCACAGGAGGGGGTATGTGGTGCAGATGGATTCCATGAAGTGATTGAATGTATTTGTTTGTTGTTTTGCAGATTGCTGCCTTCACGACAAATCTCCTCAATCATTAGTTCTTCAACAGTTTTTGTTGTTTTCTAAAGTCAAAGAAGCAAATTTTTAACGAAACAAATAGGAAGAAAATGTTAGCAGAATTTTTTTATTGGAAGGATTCAACAAATTATTAAGGCAAGGTCGATATTTCGCCCATTTGCTACTTGCAACTGACTTCATCCACGTTATATGAAGTTTACTAACTAAATAATAACATACAAACCAACTAACTAACTAACTAACTAACTAACTAACTAACTAACTAACTAACTAACTAACTAACTAACTAACTAACTAACTAACTAACTAACTACTACTAACTAACTAACTAACTAACTAACTAACTACTAACTAAACTAACTAACTAACTAACTAACTAACTAACTAACTAACTAACTAACTAACTAACTAACTAACTAACTAACTAACTAACTAACTAACTAACTAACTAACTAACTAACTAACTAACTAACTAACTAACTAACTAACTAACTAACTAACTACTAACTAACTAACTAACTAACTAACTAACTACTAACTAACTACTAACTAACTAACTAACTAACTAACTACTAACTAACTAACTAACTAACTAACTACTAACTAACTAACTAACTAACTAACTAACTAACTAACTAACTACTAACTAACTAACTAACTAACTACTAACTAACTAACTAACTAACTAACTAACTAACTAACTAACTAACTAACTAACTAACTAACTAACTAACTAACTAACTAACTAACTAACTAACTAACTAACTAACTAACTAACTAACTAACTAACTAACTAACTAACTAACTAACTAACTAACTAACTAACTAACTAACTACTAACTAACTAACTAACTAACTAACTAACTAACTAACTAACTAACTAACTAACTAACTAACTAACTAACTAACTAACTAACTAACTAACTAACTAACTAACTAACTAACTAACTAACTAACTAACTAACTAACTAACTAACTAACTAACTAACTAACTAACTAACTAACTAACTAACTAACTAACTAACTAACTACTAACTAACTAACTAACTAACTAACTAACTAACTAACTAACTAACTAACTAACTAACTAACTAACTAACTAACTAACTAACTAACTACTAACTAACTAACTAACTAACTAACTAACTAACTAACTAACTAACTAACTAACTAACTAACTAACTAACTAACTAACTAACTAACTAACTAACTAACTAACTAACTAACTAACTAACTAACTAACTAACTAACTAACTAACTAACTAACTAACTACTAACTAACTAACTAACTAACTAACTAACTAACTAACTAACTAACTAACTAACTAACTACTAACTAACTAACTAACTAACTACTAACTAACTAACTACTAACTAACTAACTACTAACTAACTAACTAACTAACTAACTAACTAACTAACTACTAACTAACTAACTAACTAACTAACTAACTAACTAACTAACTAACTAACTAACTAACTAACTAACTAACTAACTAACTAACTAACTAACTAACTAACTAACTAACTAACTAACTAACTAACTAACTAACTACTAACTAACTAACTAACTAACTAACTAACTAACTAACTAACTAACTAACTAACTAACTAACTAACTAACTAACTAACTAACTAACTAACTACTAACTAACTAACTAACTAACTAACTAACTAACTAACTAACTAACTAACTAACTAACTAACTACTAACTAACTAACTAACTAACTAACTAACTAACTAACTAACTAACTAACTAACTAACTAACTAACTAACTAACTAACTAACTAACTAACTAACTAACTAACTAACTAACTAACTAACTAACTAACTAACTAACTAACTAACTAACTAACTAACTAACTAACTAACTAACTAACTAACTAACTAACTAACTAACTAACTAACTAACTAACTAACTAACTAACTAACTAACTAACTAACTAACTAACTAACTACTAACTAACTAACTAACTAACTAACTAACTAACTAACTAACTAACTAACTAACTAACTAACTAACTAACTAACTAGCTAACTAACTAACTAACTACTACTATCTATCTATCTATCTATCTATCTATCTATCTATCTATCTATCTATCTATCTATCTATCTATCTATCTATCTATCTATCTATCTATCTATCTATCTATCTATCTATCTATCTATCTATCTATCTATCTATCTATCTATCTATCTATCTATCTATCTATCTATCTATCTATCTATCTATCTATCTATCTATCTATCTATCTATCTATCTATCTATCTATCTATCTATCTATCTATCTATCTATCTATCTATCTATCTATCTATCTATCTATCTATCTATCTATCTATCTATCTATCTATCTATCTATCTATCTATCTATCTATCTATCTATCTATCTATCTATCTATCTATCTATCTATCTATCTATCTATCTATCTATCTATCTATCTATCTATCTATCTATCTATCTATCTATCTAACTAACTAACTTAGTTAAGGTATTCTATTTTCAGTCATAACCTACTTTTTAAAAGTAAAGTTTTTTTCCATTAAATTTTTCACACTTACCCTTTTTTGTTTCTCATCATTGTTCTTATCGACTTTGGTATTCTGGGCTTTCAACTTTTTCAATTCATTTTCCATTTTCTGTTTTGCCTTCTTGACATTTTTTTGTTTGGGTTTAAGTTCTAACATTTCGTTGGCAATTTTTAAAGCATCTTCCAAATTACCTAAAATTACATAACGATGATGACGGTGATGTTGGGGGAGTAAATTGAATTGCAGAATTAAACCACAGAAATAAAATTAAATAAAATCAAAGTAGCAACATAAAAGCAAAATAAACTCCCAAAATTTGCCAAAAAAGAAATTTGCATAAATTTTCAATAAATCTTAATCAGCAATTGAGAAAAGGCAAAAAAAAGAAAAATCAATTTTCAGAATTCATTAAATTTTTCTTTTTCCTTACCACTCTCCCCCTTACATTTGCGACTTTTGAACTTACCTAATTTATATTCAGTATTTAATAATGCTGTCATAATTTCCAATTTTGCTTTAACTGTATAGTCATCCTGCAAGGATTTTTGTTGTCCTGCTGTAGCTGATGCTGAACTGTTCATTTCATTGGTGTCGTTGTTGTGACTGTTTGGCAATTTCTCCAAAGCTGTTTCCATCCAATATTTTGCATAAGTTTGATAACCATTTTTACTTGACTTTAAGCCAATTTCCAAACAATCGCTCCAAGTCATTTCGGAACTGCGAAAAGTTATATAGAGTGTGTTTGTTTAAAACATGTGTTAACAATATCTTTTTGTTTGTGTAAATATTTGTTAATGCAAATTGTTTTAAATTATTTGTTTATTTTTCTTTTTTTTTTTTTTTTTTGGTATTTTGAAAACTCTTTATTTACCACTTACCCCAATTTAACACCATTTACTTCACCAACAGCCAAACGTTGTGGTTCCAGTTGATACATGTCTTGTATGCGCAATAAATTAATAAGTGCTTCATCATAATCTTGATCTGTGGGAAATGTGAGTGTTTCGATTTGTTGGGTGTAGTTCTGAGCTAAATCTGGAAAATAAACAAATGAACTTATTAGACTATTCGGAAGTTTAATATAATTAGGAGTGTTTAGGCCCATAGCCTAGTCCAAAGTCTAAAGCCTATTAACAAGTCTAAAGAATAAACAATAGACTTATCGATAGAGTTGTCAAAATACTAGTCTATAGACTATACAATAGATTTTTCCATAGTCCAATCTATGGACGAGTTCATAGACTAGTTCATAGTCTAGTCTATAGAACAGTCCACAGTCTAGTATATGGAAAAGTCATTAGACTAGTCCAATGTATAGTCCATATACTAGACTAGACTATTGAATAGTTCACAGTATAGTTTATAAAATAGTCTATAGACTCATCCATAGAATAGTCGATAGAGTTGGCTATAGAATAGTACATAGACAAGTCTATATAATAGTTCATTGTTCGTGGACTAGTCTATAAAATAGTCCATGGACCAATATATAGTCTATAGAAAAGTCCATAGTCGAGTCTATAGAATAGTCCATGGACTAGTCTACAGAAAAGTCCATGGGCTAGCCAACAGAATACTTCATGGGTTGGTCTACAGAATAGTCAATGTGCTAGTCCAATCTATGGACGAGTTCATAGACTAGTTTATAGTCTAGTCTATAGAACAGTCCACAGTATAGTATATGGAAAAGTCATTAGACTAGTCCAATGTATAGTCCATATACTAGACTAGACTATTGAATAGTTCACAGTATAGTTTATAAAATAGTCTATAGACTCATCCATGGAATAGTCGATAAAATTGGCTATAGAATAATCCATAGTCTATGGAGTAGACCATACACTAGCCTACACTATTGAATAGTACACAGTATAGTTTATAAAATAGTTTATGGACTAGTCTATAAACTGGTCTATAGACTTGGCTATAGAATAGTACATAGACAAGTCTATAAAATAGTTCATTGTTCATGGACTAGTCTATAAAATAGTCCATGGACCAATATATAGTTTACAGAATAGTTCATAGTTGAGTCTATAGAATAGCCCATAGCACAGTGGTATAGGAAAAAAAAAAAGAGGGAAATAATTCGGTAACTTCTAAACGGTTAATCCGATTTTAATGAAATTTGGTATGCACAAAGAGGAGGTGTTGTCGAGTTTAGGTTTTGAATTTGGACCTTATAGGCCAACCAGGGGCCCGGCGGGGGGTCCTCAAATTAGGACACCTCGGCTATGTTAAATTTTTAAAACGATCCTATTTCTTCATTTGAGTTCCGATTTAAAAAAAATTTCGTATATAGAATCTCCTCATCGAGCACTATTTATCGTAGCAGTAAATTATCTCTTATAGTTTAGGAGATATTCGCATTTGAATATTAAAATTTTAAAATTTTTACCGTCCTTACTTTAGTTTTTTTGATAATAGCAGGTCCAAATATTTCCGATTTTCGCCATTTTTTTTTATTTGCTTAACAACAAGTTTATATACCAAGCAGTGAAAGAATTATGTAAAAATCATGACTGAGTCCAAAGTTATAGGCATTTAAATTTAAAAAATTAAAAAAAGGCGATTTTTTGTAATTTTTTTGGGAAAAAAGTATCTTTTTCTTTTTAAGTTATCTAAAAAGTTTCTAAGAAGATGTATATAGAATTTATACTTTTTGGAAAGCTGACTTTACATAAAATACGATAAATGAAACAAAACCTAAAAATTTTTGATACCGAGGGGACCAGGTCCATCCAAAAAAACCCTATTTTTTATGGAAAATTAAATTTTGAGCAAAAATTCTCAAATCGCATAGTCGATATCAAATTATAGTGACCTGTTTTATATGACCCAATAAGTTCTTAATCATTTTGTAACGGGTTTCGATAACCCCGCCCCTGGTATGGATATAATAGGCAAAAAACCAAAAAATCCCATTTTTGGGATTTTTTAAAACTTTTTTTGGGAATTCCGGGATTTCTAATAAGAAAATTCGAAATTTTTATTTAATTTTGGATTTTGAGTAAAAAAATCTACCTAACTGTAAAATTTCATCAAAAAATATTCATAAATAAAATTTTTATTGCAATTTGAAAAATTTGTATCTTCGCAAAAACTGAATAAAAAACATTTTTTAATTTTTTTTAAAAAAAGTATTCCGCGAATTTTTTAATTTTCAAAAATTATATACAGTTTTGAAAAATAGACAAAATTACCTTTCCATTGATATATAACATGCCTACCTAATGTTTTTTAAGTGACAAATTAATTAGGGAAAACTCAACATCTTTTAGAAAATTTACCTAGCACTATTATTTTCATCCATATATGTAACAAATTTAAGAGTTAACCTTATGGATGAAAATAATAGTGCTAGGCAAATTTTCTAAAAGATGTTGAGTTTTCCCTAATTAATTTGTCACTTAAAAAACATAAAACATTTTTTTAAATCGGAACTCAAATGAAGAAATAGGATCGTTTAAAAAATTTAACATAGCCGAGGTGTCCTAATTTGAGGACCCCCCGCCGGGCCCCTGGTTGGCCTATAAGGTCCGAATTCAAAACCTAAACTCGACAACACCTCCTCTTTGTGCATACCAAATTTCATTAAAATCGGATTAACCGTTTAGAAGTTACCGAATTATTTCCCTCTTTTTTTTTCCTATACCACTGTGCATAGTCGAGTCTATAGAATAGTCCATGGACTAGTTTACAGAAAAGTCCATGGGCTGGTCTACAGAATAGTCAATGTGCTAGTCTGCAGAATAGTTCATAGACGATTATATAGAATATATATAAGTCTATAGCTTAGTCTAGAACTAGTTTACAGAATAGCCCATCGACTAGTCTATATCAGTCTATAACAGAATAGTCCATCGACTAGTCCGTAGTATAGTCCATAAAGTAGTCTATAGTATAGTTTAAAGACTAGTCTATAGCATAGTTCACTGAGTAGTCCATCTAATAGTCCATAGACTAGTCTATATAATAGTTCATATACTAGTCTACACATATACTAGTCTACACAATAGTCCATAAACAAGTCTATAGATTAGTCTATATCATAGTCTAGAACTAGTCTATATAACATCTAATAAAATCTGTTTCGGTTTATACTACATTAAGCCTTCCCAGAAAGTTCTCAAACTTACCCTCTGTTTTCAAATAATCTTCAGCATAAGATTTTAAACTCTTCCAATCGGCTGTAAATCTTTTCAAAATCGTCAAAGCATTAATGGGATTGTATAAATATTTCTCTCGATCGGTGACTCCATCATGAATATTACGAATTTCAGATGTTTTTCTTAAATATAAATAATATATCACAAAATAAATTAAGTGAAATTCTTCCAGTTTAAACTTTACTAAAAGTTTAAACCGCTAAATTAGATAATCAATCATAATTACATCTTTTCTTTTCTGCTTTACCTTTTTAAGAAATTCAGTTTATTTTCTTGGGTTTCAATATAATGCCTTAGGGTATCAATGAGTACTTTTTCAGTATTTAACATTTCATGCAATTCATCTTGTTCTTGTCCAATGGTCAACGATGCCGATGAACTGGTAACTTCAGCATTCACACATGATGATGATATTGGTGAGATAATGTTGAATGTGGCGAGTGTTAAAGTTGTTGTTGCTATAATCACAAACCAGCGAAGAAACATAATGAATATCGATGAAATTCAAATTAAGTTTGTTAATTTAGATAGAGTTCATTGGCTTTTAAAATTTATTTGATTTTGTGTTTTAGTTTTGTATGTGTGTGTGTCAGCCAAAGACTAGTTTAAACACATGTAAATTTGCCAAAACTATCTGAACGGTCAAGTTCAAGGTGTTTTTTTCTCTTTATTTATTTTCTTTTTGTTTAACTTTCTTTAAATGGTTTTCTGTTTAAAATTTTGTTTTAAGCCAACCGCAGTTGTTAACGTTTTGGAATGTTTTTACAAACTAAATTTTATTTTTGAATTTCTTCTTAAGTTTGGCTTTAGAATATTAGAAATGTTTGCAAAAATTTGTTTACGAAGAAAAAGCTTTTTTAGTTTTTAAGTTCATAAAGGTCAGGTCAGAAACAAGTTTTTGTTTAAAATTTCTTTTTGTTTATTGTTATATTTTGTTTTATATTTGCGTTCATAAATATTTGTGTTTGGTTTTGGTTTCAAATATCTTTAAGATACTATATCAGAATTTATTTTATGTACAAATGTGTAACAGTTTACATAATTTTTGTAGTAATTAAGTTGTATTTTTAATATTACTGTAGTTGTCTGTTTATTTATAGAAAAATCTTTCTGTCATCTGTGAAAATATTTATACAATTGTTGAAATGTTGTCTGGAATTGATGAGATATTTGTTCAGCTGTTAAACAGTGACTTGTAAGAAACTAAATATATGCTTACATTTTGTAGTCTTTTTGAAAGTCCTAACGTCCAGTCTAGTATAGACTAGAGTTTATATCATCTAGTCTACAATCTATAACCTGGTATTCAGTCGAGTCTAGAGTTTACAGTATATTTAAGTTTATTGTTATCAGTCTAGTATATAAACTAGTCTATAGTCTTAGATATAGTCGAGTCTAGTTTATAGTCTAGTTTATAGCCTAGTCTATAGTATAGTTTATAGCTTAGTTTATAGTATAGTCAATAGTCTAGGCTATAGTCTAATCTATAGCTTAGCCTAGTTTTCAATCTATAGTCTAATCTATATTCTTGTCTTAAGTCTAGTTTAAAGTTTAGTCTATAGTATAGTCTATAGTATAGTCTATAGCCCAGTTTATAGTCTAGTCTGTAGTCAACTCTATAGTCTAGTCTATAGTCTAGTTTATAGTCTAGTTTATAGTCTAGTCTATAGTCTAGCCTATAGTCTAGTCTATAGTCTAGTCTATAGTCTAGTCTATAGTCTAGTCTATAGTCTAGTCTATAGTCTAGTCTATAGTCTAGTCTATAGTCTAGTCTATAGTCTAGTCTATAGTCTAGTCTATAGTCTAGTCTATAGTCTAGTCTATAGTCTAGTCTATAGTCTAGTCTATAGTCTAGTCTATAGTCTAGTCTATAGTCTAGTCTATAGTCTAGTCTATAGTCTAGTCTATAGTCTAGTCTATAGTCTAGTCTATAGTCTAGTCTATAGTCTAGTCTATAGTCTAGTCTATAGTCTAGTCTATAGTCTAGTCTATAGTCTAGTCTATAGTCTAGTCTATAGTCTAGTCTATAGTCTAGTCTATAGTCTAGTCTATAGTCTAGTCTATAGTCTAGTCTATAGTCTAGTCTATAGTCTAGTCTATAGTCTAGTCTATAGTAGTCTATAGTCTAGTCTATAGTCTAGTCTATAGTCTAGTCTATAGTCTAGTCTATAGTCTAGTCTACAGTCCAGTCTATAGTCTAGTCTATAGTCTAGTCTATAGTCTAGTCTATAGTCTAGTCTATAGTCTAGTCTATAGTCTAGTCTATAGTCTAGTCTATAGTCTAGTATATAGTTTAGTCTATAGTCTAGTCTATAGTCTAGTCTATAGTCTAGTCTATAGTCTAGTCTACAGTCCAGTCTATCGTCTAGTCTATAGTCTAGTCTATAGTCTAGTCTATAGTCTAGTCTATAGTCTAGTGTATAGTCTAGTCTATCGTCTAGTCTATAGTCTAGTCTATAGTCTATTCTATAGTCTAGTCTATAGTCTAGTCTATAGTCTAGTCTATAATCTAGTCTATAGTCTAGTCTATAGTCTAGTCTATAGTCTAGTCTATAGTCTAGTCTAGTCTATAGTCTAGTCTATAGTCTAGTCTATAGTCTAGTCTATAGTCTAGTCTAGTCTAGTCTAGTCTAGTCTAGTCTATAGTCTAGTCTATAGTCTAGTCTATAGTCTAGTCTATAGTCTAGTCTATAGTCTAGTCTATAGTCTAGTCTATAGTCTAGTCTATAGTCTAGTCTATAGTCTAGTCTAGTCTAGTCTATAGTCTAGTCTAGTCTAGTCTATAGTCTAGTCTAGTCTAGTCTATAGTCTAGTCTTAGTCTATAGTCTAGTCTAGTCTAGTAGTCTAGTCTAGTCTAGTCTAGTCTAGTCTAGTCTAGTCTAGTCTAGTCTAGTCTAGTCTAGTCTAGTCTAGTCTAGTCTAGTCTAGTCTAGTCTAGTCTAGTCTAAGTCTAGTCTAGTCTAGTCTAGTCTAGTCTAGTCTAGTCTAGTCTAGTCTAGTCTAGTCTAGTCTAGTCTAGTCTAGTCTAGTCTAGTCTAGTCTAGTCTAGTAGCTAGTCTAGTCTAGTCTAGTCTAGTCTAGTCTATAGTCTAGTCTAGTCTAGTCTAGTCTAGTCTAGTCTAGTCTAGTCTAGTCTAGTCTAGTCTAGTCTAGTCTATAGTCTAGTCTAGTCTAGTCTAGTCTATAGTCTAGTCTAGTCTAGTCTAGTCTAGTCTAGTCTATAGTCTAGTCTATAGTCTAGTCTAGTCTATAGTCTAGTCTAGTCTAGTCTAGTCTATAGTCTAGTCTAGTCTAGTCTAGTCTAGTCTAGTCTATAGTCTAGTCTAGTCTAGTCTAGTCTAGTCTAGTCTATAGTCTAGTCTAGTCTAGTCTAGTCTAGTCTAGTCTAGTCTATAGTCTAGTCTAGTCTATAGTCTAGTCTAGTCTAGTCTAGTCTAGTCTAGTCTAGTCTAGTCTAGTCTAGTCTAGTCTAGTCTAGTCTAGTCTATAGTCTAGTCTAGTCTATAGTCTAGTCTAGTCTATAGTCTAGTCTATAGTCTAGTCTATAGTCTAGTCTATATTCTAGTCTATAGTCTAGTCTATAGTCTAGTCTATAGTCTAGTCTATAGTCTAGTCTATAGTCTAGTCTATAGTCTAGTCTATAGTCTAGTCTATAGTCTAGTCTATAGTCTAGTCTATAGTCTAGTCTATAGTCTAGTCTATCGTCTAGTCTATAGTCTAGTCTATAGTCTAGTCTATAGTCTAGTCTAGTCTAGTCTTAGTCTAGCTATTGTCTAGTCTATAGTCTAGTCTATAGTCTAGTCTATAGTCTAGTCTATAGTCAGTCTATAGTCTATAGTCTAGTCTATAGTCTAGTCTATGTCTAGTCTCATAGTCTAGTCTATAGTCTATAGTCTAGTCTAGTCTAGTCTATAGTCCTAGTCTATAGTCTAGTCTATAGTCTAGTCTATAGTCTAGTCTATAGTCTAGTCTATAGTCTAGTCTATAGTCTAGTCTATAGTCTAGTCTATAGTCTAGTCTATAGTCTAGTCTATAGTCTAGTCTATAGTCTAGTCTATAGTCTAGTCTATAGTCTAGTCTATAGTCTAGTCTATAGTCTAGTCTATAGTCTAGTCTATAGTCTAGTCTATAGTATAGTCTATAGGCTAGTCTATAGTCTAGTCTATAGTCTAGTCTATAGTCTAGTCTATAGTCTAGTCTATAGTCTAGTCTATAGTCTAGTCTATAGTCCTAGTCTATAGTGTACTCTATAGTCTACTCTATAGTCCTAATGACTGATCCTCATAAAATTTGGCAGAAATATTTTAGTTTTCTAAAACCTTATGCGAGTTTCATCGCTAGTTTTAAGCCAGTTATGGGTTTTTCTGAATTGGACCTTATATGGGGATAGGTAAAATTGTAGACGATATTGGCAATTTTCTATACCAAACAAAATGCATCTAGCTCGTTCCGCTAGTACTCTATCGTGTTCTCAACAGAGAGACGTTCATGGTTAGATCGTGTTAGAATAAGATACGGACCCAGAATATGGGTCTTAGGCCAGTATTTCGATGTATTTCAAACGGAATGGCAAAATCGACATACCCCCATCTATTTTTTTTATGATGGAATTAAAAGCATGACTTGTGTTTCCTAAAGTTATTAAGAAAATGTTAAGTATTTGACAATGCTAAATCCTACTTTTAATGTCAAGTTAACAATTATAACTAATGTCAGTCCTTTTCTGAAAAGGATCTTTTTTCATTCAAAAAAAAAGACATTAACATTTCTTAGATTTTTATTTTGCACAGACCACTGTTCAGTTCAACGAACAGTTAGTTGACTACGTGACTTTCAATAGATTGATAAACACATCTAGAACTATTCATTTGATTTCCATTTTACTAAATGAGATACAGGTAAATTCTAACATAAATTTGTGTATAAGCATGATATAATGAATCATTAATATCTTTATTTTTATTAAAAAAAAAAAAAAAACCAAAAAAAAAAATTCATAACTAAAAACAATGTAATTAATATATGTATATTTAAAAAAATGCTTAAACTTTATTATGATATATAAAACAAATGCTTGTATTTGTCACCCACTGGATGAAGTCCACAAGAACGTTTGAATTCCTGACCCACATCACGGAACCACTCATTGCAAACTGTTTAAATAAACAATTAGAAAGTTATTCTTATAACTATAAATTTGGTTTTTATAATTGTCTTGAACTTACTCCATTTTGAACCCTTTAAAACAGGACAGCCGGCATGTCTGGTGCGATAATCAACTTCTGTAGAATTATGTTCGTTGTACCATAAGACCAGACTGTTTTTAATGGGTGGCACAGCTAAACGTAGGAAAGGAAAAGCGGTAGCGCCGCCCAGTTCAACATCATTGATCTGAAATTATGAGAATTATTTATTTTAAATTTTTTTATCATTTCCTTTGGTGAAAACTTGATTTTTCTTACATAAAACAGGGCCGTTAATATGCGATTTTCATTTTTACCAAATAACTCATTGGGATCCTATAAAGATAAAACAGATATTTTAAAATTTCACAAAGTTTAAATTTTACCTTCCGATTAACCTACCACTGCAAAATCATAGTGTGGTGCATAGTGACCACCAATGCCATAATTTGCCACCTGCATTGCCTCTCCGGTCGCCATACTCAAACCTGTGATATCTTCTAAACGTTGATAAATCTTATTCAAAAACTTATGTTTATCCCAATATAACCATGTCTGTTTACTAGTGCGTTTTTCCGATAACTGATGGCTTCCAATTCGTGATCT